CACCAAGAGGAAAGAAATGGAAATTTTTAATCCTTCCCCCAAAATATATTAGTGATGAGGAGTTGTTCCTATGCCTCTCCAGACTCTGCCAACCCAGCCAGGCTAATTGTTGGCCTTCACCAGTAGGATTTCAGAAGCTGCTCGGGGCATCGTCCAATTAAAATGGGAATGCTTGGAGCAGCACTTTCCCCTCCTCTTCATCTATTGAGGATGTATCAAGCTGTAGCCCAAGATGTAGTATGAATTTGAGTACGAAATGGAGTGCAACCACCATCAGACTTGATGACTTTTTGGGCGGACACAGTGTTCTATGTGCAAGAGGGAGCATGTGCAGAGGAAGAAATTCACTTGCCTGGGGCTCAGTAGGTGCCACAGCCTAATGGCAGTCTGCCTTTTGGGCAGCCCCACACCTTTCCTGGCCAAGAGAGGTGTTTTCATGCTGCATTTCCCTGTTCCCCTCACACCAGAGGGAGCTGCCACACACGGCTTCTCAAATCTCTACCAAGAATTTGGCACATTTGTATTTTATGCAATGTTAATGACTTGGTGAATTCCGAGGCAAGTATTTTGATTGTTCCCTTGTTTGTGGTACTGCAATGTAACACATCATTTTTATTTCCACTTCTTTGTATTTTTACAGATTTTCACAAAACTGAAGGCTAACAAATGATTTCACAATTAATATCTGCATAATTACCACCTCATTTAGTGTGAACACTGATACATAATTTAAAACAGCTGTGCTAGATAATCATAAGCCTTAGCATGAGAGAGACTGTTGATCTTATAATGCTTTTCAGACACAGCCTTTAACTAGTTCATTTGTCTACTAGATCCGCCTTCCAATTTCTCTTCCTTGGTTAAAGGTCACATAAGCAGCAAAATAAAGTTGTGTTAGCATCTCTAGCCAGCATTCTCTGTAATACTCCATTGATATGGTCAGTCTCTGGCCCATCAGCATTGCTATAGAAAACAAAGGCATCCACTGTTCTGTACTGAAATGATATGAACAAGACTGTCTTCTTTAAAGCAATCTGGAATTTGTTAATCACTCTGTAACAACCAACAATTAAGGAAGCACACACTGAGCTTGAAAACACATTTAAACACATCAGCGCTGGCATTTAAACTCCCATGGCCATCAATGGTGTGGTAACATCTCATCAGGAGGTCAGTGGAGTCTGGAAAACCCTTAATGGGATTGGCTGCCACAGGCTCACCAGGCTTCACTACTGCTTGGGCTCAGGTCTCCGTCCTGCCATCCAGCTGCACATTCAGAAGTGTGCATGTTTGCCCTGCAGGTCCTGTGCTGTATCTGCCAAGCCTGTCTTGGATAACCCAGCCATTCAAGGTTATCCTGGGACAATCTGAAATGTCAGCTGACACACATTTAGGCAACAGAATCAGCTATGCTGGCATCATTCAAAATTGTAATTCAGTGCCAGAATTCAGAGTAACACTGAATCTTTCAAGTGATGGCAGGGCAGACTGTCCTCTTTATATCTTACAAATAGCTCTGAGTGAAGCTAAGTAGTGAACAACTGATCTGCTTGCTCAGGTACTGTCTAGTGCACTGACCAGTCCACTATTTGAATATAAATTAAAATTACAAGTTTTGTTAAAGGTTCCTGAAGTATGTATTTACACACAATGATAGTCTATTAATGCTTTAAAAGAATGTTGACATTTGCCTGCCCATTCGCGTGCACTAGAGGGAGCTGGTGCCAAGCCCTCCATTCATTCTCCCTGGCACTTCTCCCAGTTATTCCATGCTTCCTGGGACTTGGTTGGTTCCACCCTGCAAGACGATGTTCACAGCCCTGAACACCTAAGTTCATTAAGCCGAAAGGCAGGCTAAGCAGCTGCAGCTTTCAGCACCGTTTCAGTGGGCATGGCTGGAGCAGTCGTGAATGGGTTAAGGGGAAAAGGGGAAGGAGTTAGTTACAAAGGGCTCCTCTCATCTCTTTAATTTATGTAATCAGGAAAAGCAAGAAACTCCTAATCTTCCACGTGTCCTTAATTGAGTCCCCCTGCATGTATGCACTAAGGCATAGTTTTTAACCCAACACAGTCTTCCTTTGGGCCTCAACCCCACACAGCTGAGCACAAAACACGGAGAGCTGCTGGCTGAGCATGAATGGTTATTACTGGGTCAACACAGGCATGTTTTGCACCCTCTTATTACTTTCAGAGAATAAATATATATAGAAGGTACATCTCATTGTCTTTCAAAGTACAGTTAGCACATGCTAAATAATTTTCTGGACCCTACAGAATTATGAGGCTTTTTCAGCCATTAGCTGAGACTCCTTGGCTTTTGGGATATTGATGTTCCCTCCCACTGGACCCCAAAAGAAGTACAGCAATCTTTCCCCCAGGCTTGAATATTAAGCCAAAAGATACAGAGCCAGACAATTAAGCACTGATATGACTTTCCCTTCATGCCTGGCATTGAAGCTGTAGGAGCAGAAACAGGACAGTCTGAAGGCTGCAAGTTGATTAAAAAAATGCAGTAGATACACTCAAAAGAAGAAACTGGATTCCACAGAGAAGCAATCCGTCTGTGGTTTGGCACAGATCAGCAAAGGAAAATTTACCTAGATGGGAAAAAAGATATCCTTTTCTGAAATACACAGGAGAGTATAAATCCATACAAAGGGACATAAACAAAGGACATGATGACCATGACCTAAGTCTTAACAGGTGAACTCAAGTTAATGACCTGCTGCTTCTGTGTTCCTTGGGCTAGAGAAATACCAAGGGCTAGGACCACAGAGTTACCACGGGGCCTTTTCCAGAACAGCTTGGTCTCCAGCTTTAGGTGGTTATAAATAAGCAGCAAAATTGGAGATTTACCTCTTGTAAGGATAACTACTTCTACTTTACCTACTTTTAAATGCAGTTCTTTTTTAAAGTAGCTTTTAAAGCTACTTAAAGAAAGAAGCAGGACCCTCCAGGGCAAGTCATGCTGCCCCAGCACAGACTTACAGAAAAGCAGATGAACTGGATGCTGAGCCGCCAAGTGGCTGAAGTTAAACAAGTGGAAACCTATCCCTGCATTAAACCATCCTTTAATTTCAGCGTAGAATTATGCATACATACACAGAGACATGTAACCAAATAAGTACAGACACTTCTACAACTACTGTAAATTCAAACTGCTCTAATCCTCCAATGCAAATAGAATCTGCACCGGGAACAGAAGGGCTCTGCCTGCTGTCCTCCTAAATGAGAAAATGCATTAAGACACACCTGTCTCACCACTGGTTCTAGTTATTTGTGTGAAATATTCCCTGTAAAAAAAACCCTGAATGCTTCCCAATCCTTTTCTTGGATTTGTTCCCTGGACACTTTTCACAGCACTGCACGGAGAGGGTCCCAGCTGAGCCACTCCCCAAAACAGTACCATTTTCTCATTTTCCATTCCCAAACCCCTCTGTCACCCGTTTGGGATCCCAGAACTGTCCTGGGTACCACCAGGCCACTCTCTGGCAGACATTTTCTTCCATGCTCACTACCAGGAAACTACCATCCTACAGGCCCTTCAGCCCACCCAACCAGCACCCACCTGCTGCGCTACCACAGCTGAAATGCCAAAAGGAAGGACAGTTAAATGCAGCACCTGCCTGGTACACCTCCCTCCCTGTACATACCATGAGTTTCTTCATTAAAACAAGCCAGCCCTGAGGAAGGAGTGCACAAAACAACTCTCTTTTGATGAAAACACCTATAGAAGCACAAAGCACTGCAATGCTGGCAAATGGACCTTTCAAAAACTGAAGAGAAAATGGACTAGGCTGTGTTTCTTTATAAAGGCGTGTATTTCAGAGGTAGTATATTTTCCTTAGAGTATTATAAATAAACTCTCAGAACAAATTCTGGTTTTCCATGAGATACTTAAAACTGTTTTGTGACTCTGAAAAATGTAGAATATATCAGTCTGCTGGTACAGCATCACTAAGCAAAAGATTTTCACTAATTTCCTCATAGCTCATTGGCAGGAGGAGAGGATTGTCTGACGTGCAGCCTGGCCAGGAGCAACACTGGCAGATGTGACCAGGTCTCAGCCCTTTCCTTGCTTCTGGGAAGCAAACGTGTTTCGTGCTTGCTTTGCAGTTTGACCTCTTCAGACCTGAGGGAAAATGGGGCATCCAAGTACTCTCGTGGAACTCACGAAGTAAGAAAAAAAGCCAGGGCTGAGCCTGCAAAGATTGAATGAAGGAATCAATGCTGCTCATGGGGAGCTGTGATAGATATGGCTTCCCTACAGAGCAGTCCTAATGGAAGAGGGGGATACCCTAGCGGAATCAAAACTTCCATTAACATAACAAACCACAGCAGAAAGGTAGAAACGCTCATCTTGCCTACTCTGTTCATGCCAATAATCCTGGGGAACGGCTGTAACAACGTGCTTCCTTAGGGAAACATTATTTCCAGGTTGAAGATGCTCTTTCAAACATAAAGCAGATACAGTCATAAACACCCCCAGGGCTGTTTTGATCACTCGCATTTACAGAAAACATGCCGTTTGGTTTCTCTCCATTTTATTTTCAGCTGCCTTCTCCCGCTTGTTATTTCGGACAGCTTCCATGCTTACACATTAATGACTTCCACACACCACATGGAGAAGGTTACATTAACCTGTGATGTCTTCCTTTTGAATTTAAGAGTTAATAACAGACTTAATCATAAGCAGTCCAGTACTATTGTGATTGTAATTCCAGCTGGGTTAATTACACAATAATTAGATACAAACATTGCAACACAAAACACAGCTACATCATTATTTGCAACAAATGCTAACTCTAAATAAGTGCAACCTGTCCCACAAACACTTGCTATAAACGACTTAAAAATAAAATTTGATGGGGTAAACACAGGAAAAAAAAAAAAAAAATTCTCCGGGAGAATTTTTTTTGTTAAAAAATAAAAATAAATAAAATCTCAGCACTCATTTAGAGTTCGGGATCTTGTGAAAGAAAGCTTTAAAAGGAGCAAACCTGATTTGCTGTGGCTGTTGCGGCGAAGGGAACACTTGTTGCAGGAGTTGTTGCTGCAGAGACAGTGGCGGCCGTAGCGTTGTGCATCATGGGTACTTTCAGGAGGGGAACCATGGAAGCAATGAACAGGAGGGTGCAGCATTATGGTAAGAGAAGTGGTATTTTTGGCATGGTGAATATCAAGAGCGGCAAGCCATCGTCATGGGTTAAACCAGCAGATGGCATGCAATCACAGTGCAAAGCGAGAAAGCGTGGCGGAGAAATAAAAAACAAAAAAAGGGAAAATAGCTTATTACAAGTACAATTAAAGGAAGGTTGTCAACACGATCGGCGATTCCCAGAAAAAAGAGCAAGGACCACTGCAAATGCGGGTGTTATCTCTAAGAAAAGGTCTCTACCAAAACAACCCGTTACCTGAGAACTGGTACACAATTTTTTTTTTTCCCCCAGTGTTGCTACAAAGCACTCCAAAATAAAGGTCTACTGAAAATAACCTACAGTCTTTTGAACTGGGGAAGGAAAATGGTAACTGTTTATCTTAATTTTTAAACAGAATTCAAAACAAGTTATTATCGTGCATATTCATTTTGAAGTAAGCCAGATACTCGTCGTCTTCCTATATAATCCAATTTGTGTGGTTTTTTTTTCTACTAGCACTGCATGACTGCTAGACTTTATCAGAGTTAAACTGCCATCTGCTTTGAGGCAAAAATCAGAAGAAGAATGATAACCATTTTCCTGATTTAAATACTACTTTGTTTGGTCTAAAAAAGCAAGATCAATTTTGTGAAAGCTGCTGCTTTTGCTCATTTTAAGAATGAATATTACTCAGCACCCTCATGAGTGAATACTAACCTTACCTTTTGAAAGCTTTTAACTGCTTATCTGAGCAGCCTCCCCTGCCACAAAAAGAAATCACTGGGATGAAGCTACAGAATAGGAGAAATATCCCATCTTAGAGTCTGCTACACTGGACTTCAATTTGGCATGCCCAGAATGTTCATTCCAAGATGTAAACGTATTTAAAGGAGGAGTGAGATTTGTATCACGGGTTTCAACCAAGCTTTTGTGGATCAAAGTACACATTTCTGGGAAACGCTGATAAAACTTTCTAACACACAGCAAAAAGGAGAAATAGGCACACCACTATGAAACTTTAAAACACTGATGAAACTCGCTGGCTTTTCCAGTATTTTATGATTTTATAGTACTAGACAATATAAAGGGAAATAAAACTTTGAAAACTGAAAAGCAGACTGGAATTCATGATATTATGCTTTTGCAGTATAGTTGTTATAGCAGGTGACATCACATCTGAGCTGCAGCTTTCGTCTACAAATCTAAATACTGCGCAAAGTCAACCAGAAGGACAAGTGAGCCTTTAGTTCTAGTCATTGCCTAAATCTCACCTACGAGTTTTGAAACAAGTGAATATACATCATATACAGTATAAAAGAGATCAATAAAGAAATTTGGAACCTACCAATACTGGTAGCGGGTGTCATGCACAAAACTGACCCTGCGTGTCATGCAATGATAGGTGAAAAAAGTGGATAAAGGGAAGAAACAGGTTAGCTGTTTAGAGTTAACATTCAAAGTGAGATTCAAGCATAACCACAGATACGTTAGTTAAATGAAAGTTTAAGGTCATTCATAGTTTTGCTTTAATGCTAAAGATGTGATTAGGTTCATATTAAATTCCTACAGTAGTATATGACTTTTGGTGTGTTTCTGTGTACACAAATCTGCAGCAACAGGTTTTTTGTTTACAGAAACAGATTAAATATCACATTATTTTGCAATTTTAGAGCTCACTGCATGATTCAGACAGCTTAATGCTGAGCAGATCAACGTTCACCAAAAAAGCTAAAATGGAACTATCCAAAACTACTCTGCAGGGGCTTTGTCAAATTGATGCTTAATATTAACCTATGCACTTTTAATGCAAGGCATGAAGCAGGGAGGTGTTTCTGACCAACAAAAAGACTAGTGGCACAACTCCCAAGCTAAACATCTAAAAGTGTGCAACCTCGGCAGCAAAAAGGCCACTGGGTCTTGGTGCTGAATGGGTTTAGCCTTTCTGAGAAGACCAGAAAAAAAATAACAAAACAAACAACAAACCAATGTTCTTTCGACACAGAGTGTGAAGCAAGCTGGTGAAGGTGAGGAGGCAGGAAGACTGGTACCACACACACAGACACACATATTTGATACTAAGTCAAATATGCTTCCTATATTCCTGCTTACAGCTGTCCCAGCAGCAGTGTAACTATGAATGACCTTACGGAAGAACAACCCCTGGAAAATACACACAGTTCCTAGGCTAGCGGCCATAAAAATGCTAACGAACAGCAATGAGAGGAGAGAAAGGATCTGTTGTTCTTGAGATCATTCACCAAACAAGAAGGAGAGGTGACAAAGCAATCAAACTGATGGAAAACACGTGAGGTGCAGAAATCTGGAAATGAGCCATGCTAAGTGAAGCCCCACACTTGTCATTATGGGAGCAAGTGGTTAAGAAAGCAGAGAGGTTATATAAAACAATTAAGTTTTATATATATTCCAGCAGCAAAACTTGTTTTAAAATTTAACTTTAATAGCACACGCACAAATACACACACACACACAGGGAACACATTTGAAAATTATACCAGTTCAGAAAATATCACATCATCATTTTAAATCCCATAGTTAATGTCATGCATTGCTCCTCAGGGCTGGGTGACGTGACAGGCCTCGCACCTACCGGATCCAACCTTCTCTGGGACTTCCCAGGAAACGTGGGACTATAGGAGGAACCATCTTTAACAAAACTCATGTTACATCCACTCATATAGAGTGGGTTCTCCCTTTCTAGCCTTCTTCCATATCCCATTCAGCTCTCTAAGATCCTGTTTAGGTGCTGATGGCATTCACAAGAGCAGGAGGTTCAGCACCTCAAGAAGGCCTTCCACCATGGGCACTGACCTGTATTATCCCCCTCTCTCTTCTTTTTTTTGTGCATTTGCTTTGGATTTGCCAACAATCTGGCTTTTAGGACTTAGTTCCAAGAGCCACCCTCTCTACCATCTGAAATTTATAAGACATAACTGCAACGATAACCACCAGCTGGAAACAGGGACAGACAATAAATGGTACAAAGAATGAACTACTTCAAGAAACATGATTACTCCAGAAGTCTGGAAAATTTCTAGTGCTATTTCACTGGAAAAGGTTTAAGCTGCTCTTATTTTCCAGAGTTAATTTAAAGTCTATGGCAGTTGCTTACAGCAGTGATAAGCCCCGAAAGGGAGTGCTTAAGAGAAGGAATAATGCAAATCATAGTGCAAATTGTTAGGATTATGACACACAATAAATTTGTGGAGATTTCTGTACGTTGGTAAGCACAGGGCGGTCTTCCATTCGCATCCATATAGGCAATCTCACTGTTTTTTTCATAGACTCCCATAAATGTCGGTGTGTTTTCTGCCACAGATATTCTAGTGCAAGAATGTGCTAAAAATACAGCATTCTATAACTTGCTATTATCAACATAGGGGCAGGCTCCAAGGTTGTTACTCAGGCCTTATAGCAAAATCACATGAAGTCAATGCCATCTGTGTTTATTTTTATCTTTAAAGACATATGGGGATGCTGATAGATCGGGCAATCCTTGCATGTTGTGTCTCATCCCCCGTTATAACCAGCATTATTTCCACAAACAAAAATAACATAGCTGAAATGTCAAGTGTGTTTGCAAACAAGAAGTTTTAAAGGATTCTGGATGTTCACCCTCGATAATGTTCTGATACCAGAACATGCCACTTGTTGGTCACAGACCAAAACACTTCACTCCTTAGAGAGGAAGTTCACCAGCAGAAAGTTTGGAGTGAGGGTGTCTGATGTAATTTAAAGGATCCTGGTGTTACTGTCTGTGCAAATACCATGTGCTCCTTCTTTCATGGTGTTAGAAAGGAGTCCCAACACCAGCACTGTGGTGCAGCTTGAGTCTGGATGACTGGATCTTCCAGGCTTATGTGCAGACACGCAGAGCACATCCCCTAAGCTTTGGCTCACCTGGATGGCTCAGCCCCAGCTCTTAGCTGCAAATGCTAGGAAAAGCACTGGTTGTGTGCCGAAAGGAAAGACACGAAAACCAGTCTGATGCCTCTAAGCCCCTTTAGCATCAAGGCTGGGAGCAATCTGTTTTGAGGATGCTTCTGTGCAGGTATAAGCAGAAGGCTCATGTTGGTGCATTGCAGCAGAGCAGCAACAGAGAAGCCATGAAGGGACACCCCTGGCATCTCCAAAGCTGTACACCTTTCCCAGACTTTTCCTAGCAGTGTTTTGCCCTCTCATTCCCTAGGAAAGCTCCAGCAGGTGAAGTCAAAATACAGCCAATTCAATGTAGGAAAAAAGGGCAAACTGTGGGTGATAATGGAGGCTATGAAAATGACAAGCAGTCTAATAGCGTGTTGAAGTTTCAGCCTGACCCCTCGCACTTTGCAGAAGGAATTAAATCAGCATGGAAATATCTGTGCAGGCCTCATCTCAAGCAGGGCAGGGAGCGTAACCCTTTGGTAAGCACAACTGCTTGATGCAGAGGCTACTTAGAGCAAGGTGGGTTCGGTGCGGGTGCGACATACCTGTCGGGATGAACGCTGCATGTTGCTGCAACTGAGCATTGGCAAGAGCCTGTTGATAGTGCAAGACACTGGGATTGAAAACGGCACTGGCACCATTGCTTTTTTCAAGTGCTTGTCTCTTTGGTAAAGGGTGAAGAACACCGGGAGGAAAGGCCTGTGAATAAGAGAGTTAGTTAAAAGGGAATAATTTTTAAGGCGTTGTCTGCAACATATACGAAAATACAAAAAACTTATTATTTTTAAAGCGGCTAAAGATGCCTCGCCATGCATATTAACTCAAAGCACAGCAATGTAAAATGAGTGAAATTTTGTTATTGATAGCAAAAGCATGGTACTATTAACCTAAAACTGTAGCAGCACAACTACTGAAAAGAAAGGCCTTTAAAGCAACGAAAATGGCATTTCCTTTAAAGAGATTTTCAGATATCATAGGGAGAAAAAACCACTTGTGTTTCATTGCCAAGTATGGGTTGTTTTTTTTTTTAATTGAAATACTGTTTCCTATTATTATACAGATTAATGGATTATGTTAAGCGTTTTCAATTACAAAAGCAGTTTTATCTCAATTCGACTTTTCATGAGAAGGTATTTAAAAATGAAACCGTGTTAGGAACCAAACTAAATTGTCTGCATTTATTACGTATGAGAATGAGATGGATAAATACGGTACTGAGTTTCCGGTAAATTAAGAGTATGTGAAATCATTTCCGGTTGATGTTTAAAAAGAAAGCAATACAAATTTCATTAGTTGCTTCTCCGAAAAGCTACATGCAAAGCAAAAGGTGAAAGGTCAAAGTACCAGGTCTACAGTTGCTTCGAGAGGTCGCTTCATTGCTTTGGCAGTCGACTGAGTCTTTTAATAACAGGCAGCGAGCACATGATGGCAGTGGGCCAATGGGATTCAAGCGAATTAACATACAGGTAAACAGCAAGCAGAGGTGCATCATGGGAACGGCATTGCATTGTGGATAGGTGAGAAGGAAAAAAATATTCTGAATGCAATATACAACATACAAAACACTAGGCATGCACAACAACAAAAATGTCTTCTAAAGAAATGAATATTACATTTCGAATTAGTACTGAAGCAAAAATGCATCTACTATACCTTAGTTAAAAGCATATAAGAGAGTAAAATATAGATGTTTGAAATTCAGGAAAGTTGAGTAAAACAGCAGCTTGCAGACACTATTAAGCATTTTATCAACACTTCACAGAGATGCGGAAAGTTTTAAGGATACTCCTACAAGAATTTCTGATAAGTTAGCCAAACCAAATTCCCAAATGCGCCATTAAATTTGGAATGCTGCACGTCCAAATAAAAAGCACTAGTGAAAGTTGTAATGCATCACAAACGTTCCCAATAGTTGTGCTTGCAAGGAGAGGGGCTTAGGCAACAAAAGTGCGTAATCCAACTGATTTGGGGTTCCAAATGAGAGAGGTTCTCCTTTCCCTTTAAGCACTGGAATAGGCTCCCCAAGGAGGTGGTTGAGTCACCATCCCTGGATGTGCTTAAAAACGTTTGGATGTGGTGCTCAGGGACATGATTTAGTGGAGGGTTGTTAGAGTTTTAGGGTAAGTATGGTTGGGTTGTGGTTGGACTCGATGATCTTTAAGGTCTTTTCCAACCTGAGCAATTCCATGATTCTATTCCCAGTGCAGAATAAATAGTACGTCCCATTACACTAACTTATCATTAATTCCTTATAGTTTTCCCTAAAGGTGGGTCATTTTTGTAATTTTTTTCCCTTGCGACTTACCACATTACATTGAGAGGAAAAAAACAACAGCCTTTCAGAATTTGAAACACGTTTTCTAAATTTCACTACAACTTATAGTACCAGCTTTGGGAGCAGGGAGTAAAAATACTGCTCCTAGCAGTATTAAACACTGAAATGTGACTTATAATACTGATTTAGCATTATAAAAAAATTTTAAAGAAAATATGTAGGCATAGTACATAGACACAGATATTGTTGTATATTTTCACTGTAAGACTAAACCTGTGATTGATGATATTCTTTAAAAAAAAATCACATATTTATTTCAAATTTTGTACTGTAAATTATTCTTACAAACCTTTAGACAGCAAGGATGATTTACTCATACATCAGAATTTTCCCCTTTTTTTCAAAGCATTTGCTGATATTTAACCTTTTTTCAGGATATGCAGATTATGTCTCTCTTGACGTCAGTATGTGGAAATAGGGAACAAAAGTCTAAAATAGAGGACAAGGCACAAAATGCCTACAAATAGCTTATTGTCATGGTATTAGCTAATGCCAAAAGGTATCTTGCAGGACAGCCTTTCTGTCCTTGTTCCCTGCCCTGTTGCAGCTACATTGCATGAGGCTTCCCAGCATCCTCCCCATCTATCCTACAGCACACTTCTGGATTGTTTTCCCTGACGTACGGGATCTGCTCATCTGTCTGGGTCAAGACTAAGCTATAACAAGAACACCTGGTGCAGTGTGAGGATGTGGATTTGCATCCACCACTGATGGAAGACTACATATAGGTTAAGTGTTACAACTGAATTCAGTATTATGTGATGATGAAACCCATAAATTCAAACTGACATCAATAAGAGTAAAGCACTTCGGTTAATTACGTCTATAATCCAGCATCTGTATTATCTGTCCTCACTTGATACCTCTTATTGACTGCCTTTCTCTACCTCCTCTCTTTGGTCTTCTGACCCTTACCTCCCTACTTGGAAGTGTTTGCTGGCTTTTCTTTTGCCTTCTAGACAAAGTTTAACCCACAGGAACTACACTGATCTGTTTCTGAGAAGATATGGAGTCTCCATTCTTGGAGAAATTCAAAAGCCAACCAGGCACAATCCTGGGCTGTTTGTTCAAGCCCATCCAACCAGAGCAGGGAGGTTGACTAGACAATCTCAAGGTCCCTTCCAATCTCAGTTATCAATTCACATCTCAGTTTAGGCATCTGTACATTCTTCTGTGACTTTCTATGTTTTCTGATGCAGTACATGAATATCTGGAGCTCCCTGAATACTGTGACAGATGATTGTCTTCTAGTGTACTTGGGATTTAAGCTATACATAGTTTGTAGCCTTTTTCAGTATTTTTCCCCTTTCTTTTTACTTCAGAGAATGAGGTCAGTTAGGACATTTGAGTAAATGTTCCTAATCGTTAGTGTGTGAAAATACAGGCAGGGCATTTTCTGGTCCCAGATGATAGTCTTCACTGACTTTCAATGGCCCTACGAGGTCTAACTACAATGTCTACTACAATACAATGTCTACTACAACAAAGTCCACAACACTTGCCTAAAAAAAACACCCTGGACCAAAGCAATGCAGATATTTCCCTCAGGAAGGAAGACCTCTTACAATTCAACCTGGCAACAACCTCTAAGTGAGACTTACAGGTAAGTGTTTGTATTTCTGCTTTACTTTAGATCTCTAGATCCAACTGCACATTATTGTTCATTCTTGGGTAGCTTGCAGGTGTGCATCTTTTCTACCACTATTTTGTTGTTGTCATTCTAATGATTTTTCATTCACTTTATCTTATTCTTTCAAATCTACATTAAATAAAAAATAGTTGGATTGAAAATAATCTCTTCTGTTTGACAGTCTAAGTATTAAATGAAAGTACTTTTCATATTTTTCTGTAAAAAGTTGTCTAGAATTATAGGTTCCAGACTTCTTCCCTTGCGACATTAGAATTTCAATTCTGTGTTCCCAAAGATTTTTCATCTCACTTTGAGGCTAACATGGTTTATTTAAAATGACAGGACATATGCCCAATCATTACTGAAGTGCAAAAAAACGAACGAAAATTTTTCTTCTGTTAGAGGTTTATTTAGTTGCATAACTTACCCTTTGTTCCTCGAAAAGTCTGCTCTTTGCTAATTTGCTAAATACAATAGCCTGGGGTAGTTATATACTGTACTGTATTGTGGTTCTGCTAGGCTCCTGACTCAAATAATAACTATATTGTCTATAACTATTGTATGCACTGCCCACAAGTCCACAAACTGCATCTGCTTAATTATTCGTCCAGTGCCAGCAATGAGGACAACGATTCTTTGATTTTCTGCCAGCAATTCTGTCTCCCAAGTCAAATCCTGCACGCTTTATTTCTTCAATTTTACCAATACCATTTATTTAAATTTAACAACTTTCCTGGTAGCAACCATAAGAGATAACCAGTATTGGTAAATGGATGGGCTGCCTTGTTTGAACAACTTTCAAATTTCTGAAAACAGAAATTCTGACTACACTTACTCTGCTTTTTCTTGATTATTCCCATTTTAGTTTACTATTTTTAAACCCTGTTATGCTAAAAGAAAAAAATGGTAGCATAGAGACTTGCCCTGTCAGTAGGAGATGAAAGAAAAGCCTCTCAGCAAGAGACTCAATAGCCTTAGCCAGAGTTCAAGAAGATACAGTCCGCATTTCTTAGGCAGTGAGAAAAGCCATCTATCTCCAGAGGATAATTCTTCCTCTCCCTCAGACAGGAACCAATGGGAGTGGATCAGATGAACAGTGTAGATGAACATGTTAGGTTTCCTCCACTGTCATAGAGTGAAACCATGGTGGCTGGTTAGTCTCTATTTAACTGAAGGGAATCTAAAGTGGGGCGAACACGTTTCTCTTCTAACACTAACCTGAAGAAAACCCACCTCTTTGCTTTTCTTCCTTTTCTTCCATATTTCCACATGCTTAACTGTTGTCAGAGAGCTAAGCCAGCATATCGACCCCTATTTTCCAGGGGACACTGAACAGTTTTATTTCTGTTTGGAAATATTAGGGGCAAATTTAACACATAATCAAGGCAGAGAACAGAAGTGGTATAGCGTGTCATTTGCTTCACTTGTCTTGGATAGAAATACAGCATTAAAATAAGAGAATAAAGAAAAAGAGTGCTTCCTCCCATCAAGCAATAGTAGTAATTTTAAAAATTCTTATCTTTTACCAAAAAAAAAAAAAAAAAAAGCAAAAAGGAAAATAAAGTATAAGCAAATAGCATTATATTGAAGCAAAATAGGCATCAAAGAGCTTCTGTCAAGAAAAGCAGCCATATATGCCAGCACTTACCATCACAGTCGCAGCTGCCGCAGCTGCCTGGGCTGCCACTGCAGCCTGGTTAGCTTGATGTTGCGCCGCTTTGATTTTGGCCTGCAAATGTGCAGGAGGGTGAAAATACTTGCATTTCTCCCTCATGCAACGACCTTTTATGTAATCCATACACACGGTTACGGTGTTGTCGTTTGTGTCAATCATTGTGCTGTCTGCCGGATGTGCAAAGCGGCAATCAGTCTCTCCACGTGCACAGTTTCCCCTCTGGAACTCCCTGCACACCTATGTGCAAAACAACACTGGTTGCAACCCGAAAAGGCAGGGAGAGCCCACGCCTCCCAAGATGGATCTTCCCCCTCCCCCAATGAGCTCAGCGAATCCAACTTAATGAACTTGTTATCTTCTTCTGGGAGAGGGAAAATGCATCTATTTTATCACTCGTTGGGTAGCTCTGTGGTATGGTAGCTAAATGGACATGAAACAGAAACATTCCAAAATGTCCTTCCCTTGTCATATCTAGAAAACAACTGGGAAGGATTCTTACTGAAGTAACTGCCCCTGCAAAACTAGTTGAGACTCACAATGCTCAGTCCCTTTCAACTGTATTCTAAGTTCTTTCAACTCCATCGGTAGGGGAGGTGCTCCTCTTGTTGATATTCAAGGAAGATACAAAGAACTGTATAGAGTCTTAAAGCAAAATGGAGAGCCTCCAAAAAACAGTTCTTAAAAATGGACAGAGTCAATAAGCTGAATTGGGCTTTTGGGAAAGGGCGTTCATTTCTGTAAGCAGCATTCGGCCTTCTTGTGTGCTTGGACCATAGATTCCACCAAGCGGTGAAATCGCTTTGGGGCCATGTGGGGATCCGCCAACTCCATGGAGGCTCTACACATAACTGGGGGCTTTCTTGCCCAGTCTGCTCTGAGGTGTGTGACATGCAACTCCTTTACTGGAAGCTCAAGGCTGAAGGCCTGTAAAATTACCCTAATACTGATTAATCAAGATCAGGAGAGAATTAACACCGCAATAAAAATGTGCTTGTTAGATATTTCACCAAAGCATTCCTTTACAGGCATGTAAACCTGAGGGACATTTGAAGAGACAAGGAAAGATGAAACTTCATGCTGATTTCTACATATTAAACTTGAGTAAACTACCTTCAAAATAAGTGTTTAATTACTATTGGCTGCAAGCGTAGGAATTCTGTCTAATTATGATGCCTGTACTTTTAGCAACTATATTTTAAGCACAGTTTCTAAAATAATGGAGTTTTTCCTCCAGGAGCTTTCCTACAGCGTATCAGAGAACTACATTTCTAGTCATGGTTGTTTCTACAGTACCTCCAGTTTATCAGTCCTGAGGAGTTTCTGAGTAGCAGTAGAACCAGGGACTGAAACCGGTGGGCTTCCAGGAACAATGACGGGTGGCGTGGGCAGGATCTCAGTCGGGACTAAGCCAACTCCTGGTGTTACTGGCGTTAGGTAAGGAGCAAAGCTAATAGCCGTGTTCGTTCCTATTGTGGGACCCACTGGAAATGTGGGCTGCAAAATGAAAACACAGACCAAGATGAAAAAAATCTTAATCAAGTGCTTATTAGATGTCTTTTGCATCTTCTCCCTGATGCCAATTCGTTTTCTTAATCAAAAAATTTCAAGCAGCTGGCAAAATAAAGAGCATATTCTCTTCTTTTAATCATGTAACACATTCCAGCTGCATACTAGGAACCACACACTTTGTAGCTCTGCTATTGCAAAAGAGGCTGCCAATGCAAAGGGAATCCTACTGCGAACCTGAATCTCTGTGGAGGTCCAGCTTATACTGCAGATTTATTTACACATCTAAAAGTAGAAATAACATAGACTTTATTGCTTTTTCTCAATACCTGCATTCCTTTGGAGAACAGGCTATTTTTCAAAGTACCAGATTTCATACGTGAAGCATTATTAACTATATTAAAGCCATATTTCTAATAAGACTATAACTAATGAGCTCTTTGGCTCAACTTCCATCTGTTTGCATGCTATATTTTGCCACCTCCTGCAATTATATGTTGCTATAACTCACACATTGGAAAGCCTCACCTTTTAGAATGTTTGTGTGCCCAACTGTCACCAGTGGCAAGCAGAATAAATATTATAATCTCCAATGGACATAATATTTAGAAAAGGATTACTCAGGCTTAGCTTGAGTTCATCTTACAAAAAAGGTCGATTGGAAGAAATGATATGGTTTTAAAAATCTGTTTCATACCTTCCTAGAAAAAGTCAGTGAAGTCATGACCAGAAGAAAGAGCACTTGTGTGATGCTAAAATCGAGCCCCACCACAGTAGAATAGTGGTTTTGTTATTACCAGCTCCAGTGGGGATGGAAGCAGAACATAGCCATGGTCTGACCACGGTCATAACTGGAACTGGAAAGTGATTTAGTTCTGCAGAGCTGATGTTTACTCCAGAGTGAAGCTATAATTATAAATAATTATGATTATAAATGAAAAATTCAGACAAAACAGGACAATTCTGAGATTAGCTCTGTCACAAATTAAGTTCTTGAATAAGACAGCAGCAAGAAATGAACCCTGCAATAACAGAACACTGTAAAAAACCTTACTGAGATTTAAAAATGATTAATGAAAAAGGAAATTCTTTCTCACTGAGGTGACTTGTATGGCCTGTGCTGGAGAAGAGAAGCTAGCAAGAAACATTATGTGGAAAATAAATAAGAGAAGCCAAGAAGCTCTGTTTATTTTCAGTGGATTTTTTTGTTTGTTCCTCTCTCCCTTTTCTTTCTGTTCTTTTTTTTAGCTGTTTGGAACCAATTACTAAATTATACACAAGTTTGAGTTAGTACCAGTAAGATGCTTAAGGCAGCACACTAGCTAGGATACAAAAATGTATGGAAATGGCATCTATGTAGGTTGCTCCAACTCTAATGCCTCCTATTTCTTTCCATGGCAACTACAGCAGATACAAAGAGCATAATAACACTGTTCGATAGAGCAAATTCTCAGCTACAAAACACTCTTTTTCAACAAAGTCACCACAACTAGCTGTGCATTTTCACCAGCAATGAACAAGAGCCTTCATGCCATACTTGTCAAAATCTGCACCAGTGGAGATGACCCACTGTTGCCCCTGCTGAAATGCACCACCCACCACTTCACTGTGCTCACATCCACTGGTTGGTCTCTGGAAACTTTCACCAAGTGCCAACAAAGTCAGTGAGTGTCATTTTTTTCCACATGGATGAATTCAGTGACACCCCTTTGCTTCATATGCCCTTCCATGTCAGATGCCATTCTGTCAGACTGTCTCTCTGCAGCCATCTGTCACAGGGCAACAAAATATAATGGGATATTGGTGGGATGGTTTAAACTCTACTGCCATACCACCACCACCACCATCTGCCTCAGACATCCTGGACCAACAGAATAAAATAGAAGGCATTACTTTTAAAGTTGCCCTTGTATTTGACCTGCACAGTTACAAGTGAATAATGCTTTTTTTTTTCAAACCAAAACTGCTCAATATCAAATACCATTGTCTATATGCCAAGTGTGAACCAAATTCTTTACAGCATAATAATGAAGATATATATGAAAAAATGTTTCAACTATTTCGTGGACAACGTGTGTCATGTTTAATATAAATACCATCTTTGTATCAGATACGATTTTAAGAGTAAATCTACATGTCAAATGACTTGTATGGAGTTTTCTTCTACTTTTTATCCAATTGGTCAAGGCTGAGTCATCTTCATTTGGCAATTTACGTGAGACTGAAAAATAAAAAAACCCCCACTTTCATCACAGCCGTCAGTACAGAAGGCTTTATGTCAATGAAAATGTAAAGTTCAAGTGATGAAATGAGTGAGCAGAAAAAAGCATGATTTTGCCACTTCAATTTTCCATTATAATACCAAGAAGTGGAATCATTTTATTATTTCATGGGAAAAAAAAAAAAAAAAAAAAAGAAATGGTGAAAACTTAAGCAGTATAAAATCAGGCCATAGCAAAACACATTCTTACAAAATATCCAGAGGCATTTTACATGCATACTGAAAGCTGATAAAAATGTACTGAGACTCAGGGACTCCTGACCCCTAGTTTTTGCGCACGAGTCCCACCTTACAGCAGATACTTCAAGCATAAAATCACTTTTGGAAAATTAATCTGGAGTGAGCTACGTGGCCAAATACAGATTCTTCATCTGAGATGTTTATAGTTATCCCCTTTGACAGTCCATGGAAAGATAACAGCAATTAAAAGAAACCGAACCATATAATCTGAATACCAATTTCTGAAACAAGTCAAGCAAATGGTAATTAAAAGTGCCTATTCATTTTGATAAACTATAAATGGACCAAGGAAGCCCAGTGTGGAAGTTGCTCCAGATGCCAATGCTCCAGATGCCTCAAGTTAGAGGAATTAATCTCACTCCTGTGCCTTACATAGGTGTTTCAACTGAGAAAACATCATTAGCCACCAAATGTCTCTTTCAGACTACTTATCTAGCCATGCTTTGCAAGTCTGGTACAAGAAGCTGAACTGCAAAGGCAGCCCAGAGCAATTGATCATTCTCACATATATCCCAAAGACACTGCTCATGTCTGCAAGACTCTAGTTTTATGTCACCTTCTGGATTTCAAGTGTTAACTTAAGATAGAATGCTGAGTTTGCAAGTGAACACATCATCAGCTCTCTGCCTGTTTTATTCTGAGACACTTCAGATTTCAAGAGAGAAAGAAATCACTACCCAGAATAACAGCACTTTTTTTTCCACCGGACTAAATATTGTTTGAAGCCACTCAAACTCACAGACTGCTGAGAGGGGAACTTTGTAGTCCTATTCAAATAACTAACTAAGAAATCATTATACAGCTTTATGCCTCCAGGAGTACCATGGGTAAAACCCTTGTGAATGTAGACAAAACTTAACAAGAACTGAATGAGGAAAAAAAAAAGAAAGGGGGGGGGGGAAAGCGAGTCTGGGATAAAAAAGAAATATCAAATCTCCAGCAACACTCTTTCATCTTTTACAATGCAAATATAGAAGAAGGCATTTCTAGCACCTCAGTAGGGTTCCCTAAGTCAACAGATGAGGTTTATTTTTATTAAGACTACTTTAGAAACCTTTTGCAGGTCAATATAGTCTTCTACCTCAACATACTTACCAGCAACACCATCAGAGAGTATACTTACCACTGGCTGTAGTGGGGTTCCTGGAAACATGAACTGCATTTGCTGTGCAAGCATAGCTGCTGCAGTTTTTTGTTGGATTAAGTTGTTCCTGCCATTGATTTCCAGTTGAGTTTTTAAATGCGTTGGTGGGTGAAGGTACTTGCAGTTCTCCCTTGTACAACGACCCTGGAAAAAGAAGTCACACTAATTGGTCTATTGCTTTTGATGATAGCTTAACGCCTTGGGGCAAAATATTACACCATAAGCTAAGCAAGAACTAATGAAATGCAGGGTGTTTCCTGGGAATGGTGTAGGGGGCTGGGAGGAGCTGACAGCCTTGAGTTCTGCCTCAGCACACTACATCTGACTGACTGTTACAGCTATTAACCATGAACCAAGGAGAAAGGCTCTGAAAGCATTTGATGGCACTTTCATTGTTAAGTACAAATTGCTGCGATACAATTAACAGCCTGAGTATTATCCAGGCTGCCTGAATTGCCTCTCTTGGATCTTGGCTAGAGTATCACGTTGTCATTAATATACCGTGCTTTTATAAATTACATCACAAATAACAAATTTAAATATTCCTTAGGAGAAATACAGCTTTTAAGCACGTTACATATAATAAAACCAACCGTGTGACAACTCTCTGCTTGTGTTTTCCTGCATGTTCATGCTGAATTACAGTTCCCTGCCTTCTTGCCTCCTGTTTTTATTACATCAAGTACAACTTTGAACTATTTCCAGCCAAGTATAAAGGAACAGAAGTTGGCACTTCTGGAGCCAGGGGCTTTAGACAGTTAGAAGATAGTACAGACAACAGAAGTACAGCAGGCAGCCACCTTCGAGATGGCTTGTGTAGGAGAAGATGGCTATGGAGCACACCTCTACTGACCACATGCCAAAATATAAGCAGAGCAGCATAAGAAACTGATACATTCTCCCAGAAAAGGAAATGATGTGGTGCATCAGGGAGGCAGGACATGCTAAGATCAGAGGCTCCTTGATGGCACGGCTCATAAACAGTCACAAAGTTTTAAGAGCTGTGAGCAGACGACCCAAAGTATTAGTCAAACTGGATCTGACACACTCAACTTGTTGAAGACAAGTTTCCAAATGGAGATCTTTTTTTTTTTTTTTTTTTTAAAGTGCTCCTTAAACTTTCTGTTCTCTGCTATGAATGTTTTAGAATTCTTAGCCAAAAGGAATATCCTCCTATAGCCACAGGAACATTTAGATCCCTGCAAGAGAACATTACACAGTACACACGTACTCTGACACTGTGTATGCACACACACTTTCCTACCAAACCACCAGTATGCTTTGGATGTCCCAGAACATCAGTATTAGGAGTTCAAGAAAGCTATGACTGCAGAATGCAGACAGCCAAGCCTCAGTGCCAAGGAACATCTCTTGGCACTGTTTTAACATGCTGGTGTAGGTGAGGCCATTTTCAGTATGGTGTGCTCTTTCTTCTTACTTCTGCAGGTCACTAATTGTTGCTTTTAATCAAGCACACAAAAGGAAAGTTACTTTGTCCGCAGGCTGAAGCAGAAATGGAATAGTCACAGTTTGCCTTGGACACAGAAAAAGGTACTTCCATTCATGGAGAAATAAAGCCATTGCCTTTCTCATGTTAAACAGGAACGTGTTTGGGGCAATGAGCATCTGCTTTTTTGTTGGCTGATGAGGATTTCCTGATTAAGGCATTTTTAAAGGAGACCTATTTAACTTTAATCTAATTTGTATGTAAATAGTTCACACAGCAAATCTGAAAATGCAAACAGCAAAACAAAATCAAGTCACTCTATCTGATGGAAATACCTACCTATGCAAATGAAAGTGATCCTCAATTAAGGAACATAAGTAACTCTCAACTAGAGTGGCTTCTGAAGTACCTCGGTTCTGAAAAGAGCCTAGAGCCAACCCTCTGCTATTGCTTCCAAAAGCACATAGCTAGCTTATGCTAGCACTTCCAGTTCAGCAATGCAGCCCACAGTGCACAAAGGACTGGTTATTTCAGAAAACTTTCCAAAATAATCCAAACACATAAAAATGTGCCCTATTCTCTGAAGTTATCCGTGTTTGTGCCTCATTTACTAGTTAGTGTTTTTTTGTTGGTTTTCTTTGAGCTCCTGGTTAGCAATGAACTTACTATAAAAGAGTTATGTGGCCCTGTCAGGCTGCTATAGAAAGCACTATAAACAGATCGAGCCTTGTTAAAGTGAAATGACCCAAAATAAACCACAACTGAATGAGCACTGAAAATAGCGTGCAGATGAATCCAGTCCTAGCAACCCAAACCAAATGAATTCTGAGACCACCTTTCATTTGTTGGACCTTCAGTGGTTGGGGAAAAATGCCTATAAGTGACTTTTCATTTCTTTGCTGAGAAATGGTCTGTGTCCCTATGAGCTGCTGATGGCAATAACAGAATTGGGCTAATTCCCAACAACTGATCAATTAAAGAATAAAAATTCAAACTAGTGGCATCATCTCAATCAGATGTGACCCTGGGTTTTTTATTTACTGAAAAGGCAAAACCAAAGTCCAACGGAAGCGATAGCAACACATCAACCAACAGCAGAGAGTGCTAAATTATTCAACATATTGGGTCTACAATAAAGGCCCATTTGGATTACTGAAGAAAAAATACTACAGTAGCACACTACCTCCAAACAAATAAAGAGGCAAAATTGATTGCTTTGGCTTTGGGATGCATTGATATCAAGCCTTTGGACCAAGGCTTGATTCACCACAGCTCTTAAAATCACAGTAGCACAGGTGCTGCCCCAGACTTGGTGCACAGCAGCACAACCCCTGTTCAAATAACAGGGAAGGCAGCAGGGAAAATAATTGCTTAATACAACTTCTAATTTACTCCCACATATGAGTCAGAGTCCTGACACAAGGTGCAGACACACTGGCTTGAAACTTAGTTCCCAGAAACTCCTTCCACCAATGTAATGAAAGTTATCAAAACGCACATCACAAGCTGTTCACTTTCCATGTGATTTCTTTACCAAAACTCAACCTCAGAAAGCTGTCTCCTTATCTGTAATTGACAGTAACGATGAATGGAGAATGAATGAAGTTCCCAGCACTCCTTGCCCTGGAAGCCTGGCACCAACCTCTGACCTCTCATTTCTCTTGCTTTGTTCTCTACAGCTGGCCTAGCCTAAAGCACTGCGCCATATTTCAGGCAGGTAATGGAAAATTTTAGCAGAAACTTTGCTTTTTCTACTGCTGATTATCCAGGTTGGGGACATGCTGTGGCTTGCACCTGGGGCGTGCCACAGGTTTCATTCCAGTAGGAGGTGGGAGGCAGAAGGAATGCATGCAATGAGCTGGGAACTCAAATGATGCCCATACCCAGGTGCTGCAACAAGGAGCCCTGTTTCCATGTGGGCAGTGCTCTTGTGAACGGCTGACTAGCCTGGCATCAAAACCATGTCCCTCTGTGAGCTTTGTCACACCAATGAATTATGGTATAGAGGAATAGATTTCCCTACTGAGAGCACTAGGTAGTTTGCCTAAAACCAGTGGCACAAGACAGCTCAAAGACTGGGGCTGCTGGAGTGGGTCCATAGGAGATCCATGAAGATGATCAGAGGGCTGGAGCACCTCCCCTACGAGGACAGGCTGAGAGAGCTGTGGCTCTTCATTCTGGAGGAGAAGGCTCAAAGGAGACCTTACAGCAGCCTTCTAGTACCTGAAGGGGCCTACAGGAAAGCTGGGGAAGGACTTTTTAAAATATCATGTAGAACAGGACAAGGGGAAACAGTTTTAAACTGGAAGAGGGTAGGTTTAGACTAGATATTGGGAAGAAATTATTTACTGTGAGGATGGTGAGACACTGGAACAGGTTGCCCAGAAAGGCTGCGAATGCGCCCTTCCTGGAAGCATTCAAGGCCAGGCTGGATGGGGCTTTGAGCAACCTGGTCTACTGGGAGGTGTCCCTGCCATCACCCATGCAGAATAATGAGCTAGTTTTTACTTATTAAAATCGCCTTTAAAAATAAGCTAACATCATAAAAATATCTGAATTTTTTTATCAAACAAACAACAACAACAAAGTAACGTTTCTTTTATCTTTTTAAGCTGAGGATCAACTAATTCATCCACAAGAATTTCGCTCATCAACCAAAGGCTGCTTTTAAGGCAGGAGTCAGCAGTACATACTCTTAGTATGCTTATTGTAAAGATTCAGTGGTAATTGGGCCACCTAATTCAACCCCTCTGCAACAAACAGGGACACCTACAGTTAGATTGGGTTGCTCAGAGCCCCATCCAGCCTAACTTTGAATGCCTCCAGGGATGGGGCATACACCACCTCTCTGAGCAATCTGTTCGTATCTGGACGCAGTACTCCAGGTGAGGCCTCACCAGCACAGAGTAGAGGGGAAGGATCACCTCCTTTGCCCTGTTGACCACACTTCTTTTGATGCAGCCCAGGATATGGTTGACTTTCTGGGCTGCAAAGGCACATTGCTGGCTCATGTCCGGCTTGCCATTTCACCAGCACCGTTTTTGGTAGGGCTGTTCTCCAGTCCTATATCCTCCCGTTTATACTGGTAATGGGGGCTGCTGCAACCGAAGTGCAAGACCTTGCACTTGTTATTTTTTGAACCTCATGAGTTTAACCGGAGTTCACTGCCTGAGTGATTTTGCATACAAATACAAAGTCAATGAAGGCAATTTACTGGCAATACTAGTGGGAACTAACAAGCGAGCCTCCCTTACCTCACACCACAATGTAATGTCTGAGTGAGACATCACGTTACATCCAGAGAACAGGCCATCTGATGAAGAGCAAGAAGAAGGAAGCCTGCTTCTTTGCTAGAGTCTGCCCTTCATTCCTATCCCCTTTCCCTAAGGTCCAGCTCCCAGATTTCTCCTGTACCCCATATCCCTCCCTCTCACTTCCTCCTTCCCAAAGCACCCTCCCACCTCTCCTAACTATAGACCAGCAAACAAGTCACATAATAAATATAACTTGCTTGAGCTGTGCGTGTTCTCAACAGCCAGCCAAAACGGGCATGTGGTTGGCAGACCACACTCAGAGGTGGCTCAGTTCAGGCTGCAGCCTTTTCCTTAACTGGGCAGTAATTTGGATCTTTCTCTTCTACTCAGCACTGATTTTTGCATAAATAGCAAGAATTGTTTTTATTATCAAGTTATATGTC